TGTATGCATGTGTGTATGTATGTATAACTGTATGTATAAATAGCCACGGTCTCCGAGGCCCGACGACGGCTGGCATCGTCCGCCCGACTTCCGGGATGTGGACCAGCCGCTGCTGGCCGGGCACGGTTCTATAAAACATACCAGCCGTTACTACTTGGGGGAGGCGATTGCAAACCTTGAGAGGGAATGTTATTATGGACGCGAGATTTTGTAAACAAGTTTTTTCGCTATAAGTACTGGTGAGCATGTCATTCTGAAGTCTTAGCTGGGCATGCGGCATGCATGTTTCACATCAAGAGTTTCGCTTTGACATTCACAATGATGGTTGAGTTTGGTGGCAGGTGGACGAACCCTCGTCTATTAGGTATCCCACAGCCCGACAAAAATGTCCAAAGTGGCAGTTTAAGGCACTCTTGATTGAATGTGGCTCGTACGGTTTGCTGGTGCGCAAATAGTTTTGAGGGCCCTTGAACGACAATCCTTAGCCTTAAAATCCCGGTAATGTAGGGGCCTAAATAATTACCTATAGTATTTTGGGGGTTCCCATATTGTAAATATAGTTTAATGGGCCCCAAAACCCGATTCCAACAATCAAGGCCCTTCTATGAAACCGAAATCCCAGTTGCAGGCCGAGGCGGAGGAGGAGCAAGAGCTGGAGCGGGAGGCCACACCAGAACGGGCCGTCAGTGCTTTTGCCGAGAGGTGCCTTCCTAAGACCCAAGGATAGCGTGCTTTGTAGGGTTTTGGGTTTTGGGTCAAGGATGAAGGGCTTTGTAGGGTTTTGGGTGTGAGGTTTTGGGTTTAGGGCCTAAGGGTTTATGGCCAAGGATGAAGGGCTTTGTAGGGTTTAGGGTTTAGGTTTCCGCTTGTATGAGGCTTAACGGCTTTAAGGGCCTATGAAAGGGTTAGATAAAGGCCTTCAAGGCTTCGATCTTTTGTAGAGTAGGGCTGGTAGGAGGAGGCGGGGAAGGGGGTTCTAGAGATTTGGGATTTACGCAGGGGAGAACACCCAACACCCGCCCATAGCTTTCAAACATCCCCCCACCTTGAGTCTCTGACTATCTACGGTTTTGTAGGGGTCCCAAAGACAACTTCTTCCACGAGGATCTCAAAACCAAGGGTTTGTCTGGAACCCTAAACCCTAAACCGAATCCGCCACCTCGAAGGCATGGCCTTTAAACCGGAAGGTCCGAGTGACAAACAATCATATACTCCTCCACAAACTGACCTAGATGACTATCATCACGGTTTAGGGTTTAGGGTGTAGGGTTTAGGGTTTAGGGTGCTGTCATCTACCATCCAAACTTGATGTACTTGATCATTGGGTCCTTTTGAGCCCTGAGAGTATGTTTAGATGCATTGTTCCTCCGTTGGGGCCTTCTTCGGGCCTTGCGACCTACTGCAAGAACCTGCTGAATGTTCAAGTGTTTTTTGTTGAGGGTTCGAGTTCCTTTAGGGCCTGTAGGGTGCTGTATGTACTTTCGGGGGCTGGATAATTGCCCATTGTACTCACTGGAGAAGTATACGGAGTTACGACTTTAGATGGACGCGCTAAGAGGAGATGGCAAGTAAAGTTTGCAAGCAGAAACTGATGGTTGGATAGCAAGGCCTGCCAAGCACTAGCAACCGCTGGCAAGCCTTAGTAGAGCCTCTTCCGAGCAGTTTGGCTTGTTTGTGAGGGTGGCAACGCCCCCCTAAGGCCTAATATAGGGCCAATAGAGTTATAATAAGGAACCCCAAAATCCTATTCTAATTATTAAGAACCCCAAAATCCTATTCTAATTATTAAGGCCCCTACATTCATAAGGACTACAGGGCACACCGCGGCAAGACGTTGGCCCTGAGCGCTCGTGCGCACCAGTACCGTCTAACAGTTCTCTCCAAAGCTTGTGCTGTTGAGGTTTTAGGGTGTCCTGTTGAGGTTTTACGGCTTAGGGTTTAGGGGTTTAGGGTTTAGGGTTTAGGTGCTGATAGGTGAGCACTAGCAGGCCCTAGGGGGGGCTAGTGAGCACTGAGGAGAGCTAGTGCATGCTGGTGAGGCGATGTCAAGTTTACGGCGGGGCAAACAGAGTTCAAAGGTTGGCTCCAAACCAAGTATGCTCTACTTGCCATCCCCCTATCTTGGGGTCCCCCTATATCATAACTCATATACTATATGGTCCATATACTCCGAGACCCTCTTCTAAGTCTATTTACGAAGGCAAGGAATCCTGGAATGAACCCTAAGTAGCCGGCCCTTAATTATGAAACGGATCCCAAGATGAGGCAAACTCTATAACACTAACACTGTTTTTGGCTGGGGTCTGGGGCGCGAGACTTGCGGCTTAAGGTTCAGAAAGTCGGCTGTCGGGCTTTTTTGGCCCCGATAGCCCGAACATGTAAAGGTATCGGGGGGCCAGAGACCCGACTGTTTGGTAGTTAATTCGATACTGATTGAAATAGTGCTTCGGATCCCTTGTTCTTCTCAGGTGTATTCCTTCTGCAGCGGCACACAACCTTCAAGGGCTCAGACAACCCTTACAAGTTAAGTCCCTCATAGAACCCTACACCCAGAAGGTCCACACGTACTACAATCATGGAATT